GGGAGGGACGAACCCGGGCCGGGAAGGGGGAGGGGAACGGGAGGCGTCTTTGTTGTTGGCGACCGGGATCCGTCTCGGCGGCGGCGAAAGGCGGGGAAGCTGCTTCGGATCGGGTCTGGTTTGGGTTTCTCTGGTGGTTCCGTGAAGGGGAGAGGTAGGAGAGTCCCTGCGAGCGAGGGCTACGGGAGTCTGGGGGCGGGAGAGAGACGGAAAGCCGGACTGAGAAAGGTCTTAGGTCCTCCTGGCGCAGAAAGGTCTCGTTTCACTTGTTTTGCTTTTCTCCCCGTGGACAGAAAGATGGGGTCAGCTTCACATTCTCCTCCCTGGCTCCCTGTGGGGTTGGCGATGCCCGAAAGCTTTCTCCTGAATGTCCTCGTGTGTGCCAGCCTCGATCTGAGATCGAATCGGCCCCGTTCTCGATGATTTGTGTTCCCGGAGGGCCGTCTTAGGGTTCTTTTTCTCTGGGTGGCTCAACTTGAATCCTGACCTGTTTCCGAACCCTAGATTGGGCTCCTCGGTAACTGCTTTTGAATTGGAAAATGAGAGGTTTTGTTTGGAAATTTTTTTTAACCCTGAAACGAAAGTTCTGTCGAGTTCGAATGTATTGTTGTGACGCCCCCCCCCGCCGCCCCGCCAAAGAAAAGTGAGTTTAACCTCGGCTTTTTGTTAAAAAAAAAAAATAGTTCAGAGCTTTGATCCTTGGGGAGATTTCTGCCAATGCCAGACACAGTTTTTGGTTGTTTTTTTTTTAAATGATGCTTTGATAGAAGTCTACGTGAGGTGGGCTTGATAAGCAAAAAGATGAACAACGGAATACAGAGAGGGTGACCTTTAAATTTTGGCTGTTTATGGAAAGGTGTTTTCTGTTTAATATATTTCGTAATATATATGCATATAATACCTCATCTGCAAGATGATTCATTGATTTTTTTTTTTTTTTTTAAGGCTCCAATACATAAAAAGAATTTTGGAGATCTTGTGTCAGCATTTGGAACTGCCTAATGAGCCTGAGTAAAAAGTCAGGTACATGTTGTAATAGCGTGTATCTGTTTACATTAACAGGAAAAGTTACAGTAAAATGAACTTTTCTCCATAGTTTGTCTCTTCATATTTTGATGGCATGAACTCATTTGTGTAACATATCTAGTATCTAATCGTAACCAAGATTTTAATAATCATAATTACCAGTGTTCTTACTAGGGACTGCCCAACTCTAGTTGGTTAATTTTTGTGAGAGTAGAGGTGGTGGCTTAAAGAACAGGAGAGATAGCCATGTTTCAACTTAATAAAAGAAATAAAATGCCTGTTGTGCAGTAATTGCTGTATTATTTGAGGTCCGTGAGCAAATGAATAGCACCCTCACCTCAATATTTTGACCTCTCTTCTCTCCTGCTCTAGTATTAATAAGGTTAATTGGGAAGGATAGGATTAGATTTTTAGCAGGCTAGGCAGTTTTAATTTTGTCCCGTGCTGTGCAGGACTGTAGTTGGTAAGTGGCTTGTTTCCTTGAGTATCTTTGCCCATTTTGAAATATATATGAAATGATATCTGACAAAGAATTTGTTTCCTGTGACAAACAATTATCATAAAACATCATGGCAAAATAATGTCTTTGATAACTTTATGAGCACAGAACAACTAAGCAATTAGTGTCCCAAGTTCTGTCACTGAATTGGTCTACAAACTCAGGCAATCTGAGTCAGTTTCTCCATCTGTAATATAGGGCCAATAAAATGTGTTACCTGCACATTTTATAGAAAGGGCAGTGAGAACCAACAGTTACTTTGATTATGTGACATTGATTTAGTTTATTAATAAGAGTACTTTTCGATGCACATCTCTTATTTTGGTATTATGATTTTCAATTCCTTGGTGAAGAATTAGCCTAAGGAAATAGAGTTATAATAGGGAGAATGCCTATCCTATGTGCCATCATCTAAGAATTGATAACTCAGAATTTCCCCCATGTTAAGATTGGTGTCAATATCCTTAGAATCAGTGATGATGAGAAAATAGAGAGTGACGAATTGGCTTGGTTGGTTTCTTTACTGGTAGATTTTATTTCTAGTATATCCAAGTTTTTGTTCTTAATTCTCAAAACTTACTTCTACCTTTCCTACCCTGTTAACAAATTGTCATATATGTATTGCCCTATATTATGCCTCTCAACCCTAGCCTTGTGAGTTGGGGAGGAAAAGTGATGTTTTATGACATTTTTACAGATAAAATAAAGCCCAGAGAAGTTAATTCTTTGAATTGCCTAAAGCTACATAATTTGTAAGAAGCAGAACCTGGGTTTTCGGACTTCTAGCCCTGAATCCTTTGCTTTGGAGCAGTGTTTTCCAAACAGCTGTTTGGACCCAACAGTTTTTGCCAATTCAGATGAAATGAGAACAATATAAGTATTGGCAACATACAATATAATGAATATTCATGCACCCATTACTCAATTGAAGAAATAAAACTACAAAACAAAATGAAGCTTCCTTTGTACTTCGAAAACCCCTCTGAAATCCTACTTCCTCTTTCCCCTACTCCCAGCCACTAACCAAAAAAATAGAATGCATCCTTCCTATCCATGTGTTTATACCTAACTACATGCCTTTATGTCCTTGAACATTATATAGTTTTTCTTTGATTATTTTAAGATTATTTAAGTATGTTTGTATCTGTAGCCTGCTTTCTAAACTCTATTTGCCAAGATTTATCTATGTTTATTCAGGTAATTCTAGTTTATTTTTACTGCGATAATGGTATGTGTTCCATTATGTGACTATCAGATTTCTGTTGATCATTTTAGTTTTTTCCAGTTGCTTATTAAAACACTGTGGGGAATATTCTTGTATATGTTTACTTAGGTACATGTGCAAGACTTCCTCTAGGGCAGTGGTTCTTGAGCCTATATCCCATTTTTATAGAAGCATTTTATAACTTTTCCAATTCTGCCCTAAAATGAAATTCAAATAAAATTAAAACTTAAATTTACATTGTATTTTAAAGTAATGCTCTTACTAAAATATAAGAACTTACAACAGTAATATATTTCACTGTGTAGATGCTCAGACCAAACTACACTCTAAACTTGCTAAGTGTGATAGTAGACTAGTAAAATCAAAATTCAGGGAGCTTGTTAGAAATCAGAATCTCAGGACCTGCCCTACTAACTCACGCTGAATTTTAAGAAGACTTCCAGGTGATTTGTGTGCACATTAAAATCCAAGAAGCACTGCTGGAAGAAACAGAAGTCAAATACTTTGCACCAGTGTTTAATATCACCATGAATAGGGTAAGCTACTGATGCAAATTATTATTATTTAAGATTTTATGTATTCATTAGAGAGAGAGTGCAAGAGTGCACGAGCACAAGTTGGGGGGAGTTGTGCAGGAGAGGGAGAAGCCGACTTCCTGCTGAGCAGGCTAGATCCCAGGACCCCGAGATCATGATCTAAGCCAAAGGCAGACGCTTACCCCACTGAGCCCTCAGGCACCCCTACTGTTGCAAATTAAAACAGGTGTGTTGAATTGGCTGTTCAAACACCAATGGTGGCACTGTTGTTGATAAATGAGTTTCTGAAATAAACTATTTTCAGTAAAGTTTGGACAAAAAAAAAAATGCAGTCTTCTCTCTTTACACAGTGGTTGCGTTCTTTAAAATCTTCATCTATATTAAAGCAATACAGGGTGCCTGGGTGGCTCAGTCGGTTAAGCGTCTGCCTTCGGTTCAGGTGGGGATTGAGTCCCTCATCGTGCTCCTTGCTCAGCAGGGAGTCTGCTTCTCCCTCTTCCTCTCCCTCTCCCCCTGCTTATGCTCTGTCTGTGTCTGTCTCTCCAGTGAATAAAAACGAAATCTTAAAAAAAAAAAATCAATACAAACATACTTTGTGTTAAGTCCTGTTTATAAATATCTGAGCTTATTTACTCTCAAGTGTTTCAGTAATGGATGAGGGGATCTATTTTCCCACCTTTCAAATACTTTGTTAGACTTCTTAAGGCTTGCCATGCTGAGGAGTATGTGA